TGCGTTTGCCCAATACATTACCTCACCGAACTCTCGCAAGCTCCTAGCCGCGTGTGGTGTTGCTTATCCAAGTTGTTAAAACTGATCTAGAAATTCAATAAACAAATAATGAGTAAGGAAAATAAATAACATTATATCAAACTATTTTATGAAACAATATAACCGTTTGTATTTTATATGGTAAAACAACGTTAACTTATATATTTTTATATGTTTTTTCGGTTAAACGGATAACCAAATGCCAAAACACTTCAAAACATCAATTTGCTTTTAAATCAGTATATACTAAAGGTATTTTGGCAACTAGATTGATGCGCTAAAATTTTATGGTTGGAATAATTGATTATCTTGCAAGTTCTAATGTTTGATTTTGATTTCCATTTCAAATTCCAGTTAAAGTTTTTAAAGAGGTTTATGTCATAAATTGGAATATTAACTGGGATATATATATATATATTTTTTTTTGTCAAATTAATCTAGAAAATTGATTGACTTACTAACGTAAAACAAGTTAAATATGACTAAACTGTTGGCCGCCAATTCTGTTAGTTCTCACAATTCGTAAATCATCCGGTTTCTTTAACTAATTTGACTACTAACTAAAAATCTTTATTTGGTTTATGTCTACGATGAATAAATTTGGGAAATAAGAAATATTTTTTTGAATATTTTGCAAGTTCTAAAATTTTGATTTTGATTTCTATTTCAAATTTCAGCTTAAGTTTATAAAGAAGTTTAGATCATGAATAAGTTGGAGTATTTTATAGGAATTTTAAAAAATAGAGATATTTTTGTTGTCAGGTTAATCTGGAAAATCGATTGACTTATTAATGCAAAAACAAGTTAAATATGACTTAGGTACTGATTGGTATGCAGGCTTTTAGGGCTTTAGAGTTTTTGACAGCCTTCACAGTTAAAATTTTACCAATCACACTTTAAAGACTTTATAAATTTTAAAAGTCATGAAAGTCTTGTTAACTGCTTTTCTTCTTTAATTTTCTTTTTTTTTCTCTAAAGCAAGGCCAGGAGAAGTGGCTTTCACCAAAAGTTTCTCTCTCTTCAAATAATTTAATTCTTTTTTCTTTTTTTCTTCACCCCAAATAAACTAAAATCTATTTCTGAAACTATTATAATTTTAAAATAAATATTTTTTTCAATAATTGATAACTATATTTTATTCCACTTATTTTAAGATCTATTTTACTTCATTATTAATTAAATTTAAAGTTTTATTTTTTACTTCTTAATTACAAACAAAATCAAATAAAATTTCAATTAAAAAACTAAAAATTTTTTTTTTGCATATTTATTTATTTTACAAAAAATCTTATCATTACTTATATATAATTTTACAAATATTTTAAAATAAAAGTCACATTTCTCACAGCTTTTTGTTACCAATAGTAACAGTCACATTCTTTAAAGTCAAATTCTCTACAACCAAAAATCACATCCTAAAGCTTAAAGCCAAAGTCCTAAACAATCAGGCCCTTACTCTTACGATCAAATTAATGATTGGCCGCCAACTTTTTCAGTTCTTACAATTCGTAAATAATCCGGTTTTCCTTAACTAATTTGATAACTAATTAAAAATCTCTATTTGGTTTAAGTCTAGGATGAGATAATTTGGGAGAGGTTTGGATCATCAATAAGTTTTGGAAATAAGAAATATTTTTTTTGGTATTTGATTATTTTACAAGTTTCAAAGTTTTGATTTTGATTTCTATTTCAAATTTCAGTTTAAGTTATTAAAGAAGTTTAGATCATAAATAAGTTGGAGTATTTTTTAGGAGTTTTAAGAAATAGAGATATTTTTGTTGTCAAATTAATACAGAAAACCGATTGACTTACTAATGCAAAAACAAGTTAAGTATGGATGACTCTTACAATCAAATAAATGACTGGCCGCCAACTCTTTCAGTTCTCACAATTCGTAAATCATCCGGTTTTCCTTAACTAATTTGATAACTAATTAAAAATCTCTATTTGGTTTAAATCTAGGATGAGATAATTTGGGAGAGGTTTGGATCATCAATAAGTTTTGGAAATAAGAATTATTTTTTTGGTATTTGATTATTTTGCAAGTTTCAAAATTTGATTTTGATTTCTATTTCAAATTTCAGTTTAAGTTATTAAAGAATTTTAGATCATGAATAAGTTGGAGTGTTTTTTAGGAGTTTTAAGAAATAGAGATATTTTTGTTGTCAAATTAATACAGAAAACCGATTGACTTACTAATGCAAAAACAAGTTAAGTATGGATGACTCTTACGATCAAATAAATGATTGGCCGCCAACTCTTTCAGTTCTCACAATTCGTAAATCATCCGGTTTTCCTTAACTAATTTGACAACTAATTAAAAATCTCTATTTGGTTTAAGTCTAGGATCAGATAATTTGGGAGAGGTTTGGATCATGAATAAGTTTTGGGAATAAGAATTTATTTTTGGTATTTGATTATTTGGTAAGTTCTAAATTTTTTATTTTCTATTTTTTATTTGAGAGAATAATTAATATAGTTTTCAAGAATTATAGAAGTTAAAGAGAAAGAAAAGAAACTAACCTTTGTAATGTTCTAGTTACGGGAAGATAGGTGAAGGAAGCATCGGCAAAGACATCATCATCACCTGATAGATCAAGAAAGAAACTTTGTTAAATGATTAGTTTTCACGTCTTTATACACTTAATTAATGATCTAAACTTACGCTCAAAATCCTTAACCTTCTCTGATGCAAAACACAAGAAAGTTGCCTTCAGATTCTTTCAACTTCATTTACAAGATCCTTAACCTGCATGCAACATTTTAAGCGAAGTTTGGTAACTCTCAACAGAACAAACATTCTTAGATTGTGATGTAACAACCAAAATCTCATTATAACCTGTTGATGGTAAGTTACACAGTTTGATTGTCGTCTCTTCTGTAACTTTCCCAAAAGTTGTCGGATTGTATGGCTTCATGACATCGTCTCTTTGACCATCCTATTCCCTATTATGAAGTCATTATAATCATCACAATATCCATCGAATCTCTCTAAAATTTGGGTTTCAACACAGAAAAACCTCATCAAAAGTCTACAAATGAGTATGTTCACAGCCATTTCATACAAGATTGGGGTTTAGTATTAAGGTTCAATTGAAATAAGCACCCACATGAACAGATAAAGGTTCAATTTTTTTCATCTCCTGTCCTGTGAAGCTGTGACCTAATTCAACCATCGAGAAACAGATGAATCCTACACAAATCTTTGCCTCGTTTTATACAAATTTCCAAGGAGAGAATCTAATGGTGCGAATTTTCAATTTTGTGTTCGTCAAAGTTGAACAAAAGCAGAACATGACCAACTTATGTTATGTTGAGTGTTTTACATATTCAATTCAACTTATTATTAAGGTAGATAGCATCACCGAGAATGGAGAAGTTGTTACCTGATCAATCGTGGGCCTTAAACCAATAGCACAGGCACGGAGGGAACGATCCAGTTAGCACAGGCTCCTGCGCAATATCAATCAATCATCTCAAGCTGGTTATTTCACTCTTCTGTTTATGTCAAGTTTGCATATTTTGCTAAGAAGAGGCTAGAGAATCGAACCTGCATCAGAACCAGGACATCATCTATTGGATCACTGTCCTCACAAATGAAACCGTTGACTAGTTGTGCATGAACAGAGAACACGATCAACCTACACATCACAACCATTCAGTGATCAAATTTTTTTTCTTCTTTTCAAATCTTATAACGAAATGCATAAACTGCGACTTGTGATAGATCCGGCAAGGAAGAATTGTGCATATATCATTCATACATGTCTATATGAATCAAAAACAATCTATGACAGGAAGTTCTCAAAAAAAAAAAAAAACAATCTATGACAGGAATTAGCGTACCAATCTCCAAGTCATGCCAAGGATGAGCAGAATCTGATCTGTGTGTGTGAAGGCTGCAAAATTCCTGAGAGGAGAGGTATAGCTCTTGGCGCTTCCTTCATTGTTCTTCTCTGCTCACTACAACTCAAAGCAAAACCACAAGATAGAGTCATTCAACCATTAAAAAAAAAAAGCTCATAACTTATTTTCAGTACTGAACAATTTGTACAATTAACCACAAGAAAAACCAACAAATTTCTTCTACGTTCCAGCAGAATCCAAATTGTCAAAAACCAGAAAAGTTCAGATTCCACCACCAATTTCAAACTCGAGCCCGAGAAATGACACTGTCGATTTCATAGATATCGAAGAAACGTAGATCCATTGTCGATTTCATGTAATTGCATACAAATCAAAACACTCAGAATCACTTCCGACTCTTAACTCTGTACGACTTATTTGTCAAAGCGAAACAGAAGAAATTCCTACGAACAACAAAAACCCAAACCCTAGGGATTTAGACTCGTCGTCATGGAAACGAATCGGGATCTAGAAAACGAAATTGAACGATTCATAGACGAAAAAGAGAAGAAACCCCAAACCCAAACCCAAGGGATTTGAACAAGCAATTCGATTTTGTTAAAAATGAAATCGAAAGTCGTAGGATCATATATACCTTCGCGAATCAGTGTACGGATCACACGAATTGAAATCCAGCCGAAGGATCGTCACACACATCCACGGAAATCTCTTCGATCTCTTCTCAGTTGCGCTACCAACAAGTTCGAATTTAGGATTCTCCGGTGAACACGACTTTGGATTCCGACGAGAAATTAAGCAATTTGTTGTGAGAAGATAACGAAATCGGGAGAGAAAATTTTTAGTCTATGTTTCGGTTTCTTTCAAGGCGAGAGATGCAAAAGAAAGAAAACAGAGAGAGAGCGAGAGAGAGACTAAATTTTGAATCTGAGACTACCGTTGAAGACAAGTAATAAGTCGGCTATTAACATGATTCCCGATATATGGGCCTCAAATTTTATAATTATGGGCTTTCGTTAATCGCCGTGTTCATGAATCAATTGCATTCTTATTTTCAAGATTCATAACGATTAATTAATGCAAATTTATCTTCAAAAATGAGAATTACGACCAGAGTTCCACTGAGTGAAATGTGATTTTGATGTAAGCCTGTGTTGAGATTTAGATCTTTGATTCTAGCTAATCGAATTCAATCGTAAATGCAGGAAAGTAAAAGACACAGAGTTTTGTTTACCCGGTGTTCGTTTCCTACTCACTGGGGGAGAAAACACGTCTCCCGTCGTTTTCACTATCGCCGGAAACGTTTACAGATGGTTCCGGTACACCGGAAACTACCGTACTCTGTTACAAAGGAGCCTTGGCTCAAATCTCTCTAGAGATGGCTTGAGGGTAAGCCTTTCTCTCTCTAGCCTTAGATTCTCTTGCTCTCTCTCTCTGTAACTCTCTTTTTCGTCACACACTCTCTGTTTCTTGTTGCAGGTTATAACGGAGAAGAAGACGTTGACTCGCCACGTGTTCCTGAGCTCCAGCTGCTCATCTGTGGACTTCTCAGATGGGCTTAAGTGAGAAACGAGATGTGGTTGTATGGGCCTGGCCCATTAGGTGTTAGTCGAATCCAAATTTACAATCTCCACCTATTCGGACACAACTCCGAGAATCTCGAACCCTAGCTGCTTCTCTCTCTTCCTTTGGCGATAGTGAAGACGACTGCTCCAATCGGACTTGAACCGATGAGCTCCGGCTTCCGTTGACGGTGCCGACCACTGGTCTCTGCAAGTATCTTCTTGAGGTTTATCAGCCTCCGCACTAAGCACTGGCCGATTCCTCGTGCTTGCCGAGATCCGGTGACATGCAAGAAGCTCCGTAGCTTCTCGACTTCCTCTATTCTTCTCAACAACTTCCCGTGAAACAGATCCACTGCTCCGTAGCTGCTCAAAAGAAATCCCCAGGTAAAACTCTGAAACCCTGAACTCAGATCTTTACCTCTTCTCGCTGAAAACCTTTTCTGAACAAGAAATCCCTGAAACCCAAATCAAACTGACTGATCTCTGATCTCTGTGTACAGAAACTCCACCTGGAACTGAAGACTTCTCAGCTCCCAAACGCTCTTCAGGTAACTCAATCTCTCAACCTTATTTCTGAGATTTACACTATCAGGAATCAGAAAACCAAACTAACCATCCATTGTTTGTCTTCTGTGATGCGAGAACCTTCCTGATCGTGGAGTTACCTGGAGCCGTCAAGCTTCTCAGATGACACCAACCAAATCCCGGCAGAGCTCAAACTTAGGCCCAGGTAAGGCTTTAGTTAAGAAGTCTGCTGGATTACGGCTAGTATGAATCTTATAGAGCTTGATAATCCCATCTGCTACAATGTCCCGAATGAAATGAAACTTAGTAGCAATGTGTTTAGTTCGTTCATGATGCACTGCATTCTTAGCTAAGGCCAGAGCACTTTGCGAATCACAGTGAATCATAACTGCCCCTGCATCAAAACCTAGTTCTTCACAGATTCCCTTCAACCAGATAGCTTCCTTAGTAGCTGATGTTAGTGCCATGTATTCTGCTTCTGTAGTTGATAGAGCCACAACTGATTGTAGATTAGACCTCCACGAAACTGTATTACCCCAAACCTTGAAGATAAAACCAGTAACTGAGCGCCTTCTGTCTAGATCAGTAGCATAATCTGAATCACAAAATCCTTCGACTCTGAATCTTTCATTCTTTGTAAACGTTAACTTGGCTTTTGATGCTCCTCGTAGGTATCTCAGAACCCATTTGACGGCGGTCCAATGATCACGGCTTGGACTTGACATGAATCTGCTTATCACACCCACTGCATAAGCAAGATCAGGTCTGGAGCCAATCATGGCGTACATGAGACTGCCTACTGCACTGGCATAAGGTACGTTATCCATATGCTCAGCTTCTTCTTTCTTTTATGCTTTGCCTAGACTCTTTAGCTTGAAATGAGTAGCTAGAGGAGTAATCGTAGACTTAGCATCAGACATTCCAAATGCCTTTAGCACCTTTTCAATATAAGTTTCCTGAGATAAACTGAGAATCCCTTTCTTTCTGTCTCTGATGATGTCCATTCCCAGGATTCTCGACGCTGGACCCAAGTCCTTCATTTCAAACTTCTGACTCAGAGTGTCCTTAACCAATCTGACCTCAGCCTTACACCCAGAAGCAATCAGCATATCATCCACATACAACAACAGGTAAACTGCATTTTCCTTGTTTAGATTCCTCATGTAGACACATGAATCATAGCTTCTTCTGATAAACCCTGACTCCTTCATAAAGCTGTCAAACTTTAGATTCCACTGTCTAGGTGATTGCTTTAGACCGTAGAGAGACTTTCGTAATAAGCAAACCTTATTTTCATCGCCCTTTTTGATAAAACCCTCAGGCTGTTTCATTAGAATTCTCTCTCCAGATCTCCATGTAAGAATGCTGTTTTAACATCCATCTGCTCTAACTCATAATCCCTGTTTACCACTGCAGATAGCATAATCCGGATCGATACGTGCTTGACGACAGGCGAGAAGATCTCATTGTAGTCAACCCCTTCAGTCTGAGAGAAACCCTGAGCAACAAGTCTGCACTTAAACCGTTTCAGTTCTACTCCGGGAATTCCAGACTTGATTGTATAGAGCCATTTGCTGCCTACAACCCGAGCACCATCTGGTTTGTCAATCAGATCCCAAGTATGATTTTTCATGAGTGAGCTCCATTCTTCCTTAGAAGCATTATCCCATTCTTTCCAGTTAGGACTTTTTCTCGCTTGAGCCATTGACCTTGGGATTTCCATTTCTGTTTCTATGTCAGCTGCAGCCTGCAGAGCATAGCCTACAAAGTCAGCGTCTTCATATCTCGAAGGAGGTCTGATATTTTCCCTTCTCGTTCTATCTCGTGCTAGTAGATAGTTTTCAATATCAGCTATAACCTCTGACTAATCTTCTTCTCCAAATGACAGGCCCTCATCGTCTGAGTCATCAGAGTCACTGGAGCTGCTTGAACTCGAAGGCTCTGAACTCGGAGCGTAGTTGTCTCCACCTTGAGATGATGAATCTCCACCCTGAGACGAACTTTCATCTGAAGAAATTGTCTGAGTCGACTGAACTGGTGAAAAAAATGGAGTCTCAGTTACCTTTGAACCAGACGTAGATGGTCCATGTATCATCTCCGTATCAAAGGTAACTGTTTTCCTCCCAGACTTCTTCTTTGTTTCACCATTAGAGCTTGTAGGTGCATTAGGAGTATCAATTAGGGTGTCTTTATAGACCTCTTCCTCCCTGAACACAACATTCCTGCTAGTTGTGCATTTGCCTTCTTCAGGAATCCATACCCTATACCCTTTAACTCCAAACGGATAACCAACAAACACACCCTTGATAGTTCTAGGACTTGTCTTTTCTTGAACTACATGAACATACGCAGTGCATCCAAACCTCTTCAAATTTGATAAATCTGGCTTCTGACCTGTCCATCTCTCTTCAGGTAGTTGGAACCCAATAGTGGAGTTTGGTGTTCGATTTATCAGATATACTGCTGTAGAAGTAGCTTCAGCCCAAAACTCCTGACCCAGGCCAGTTTCTGCTAACATACTTCGTACTTTGTCCATAATTGTCCTATTCATCCTTTCTGATACACCATTTTGCTGTGGCGTATATGTGCAGGTTCGATGCCTCTTGATCCCAGAACTCTGACACAACTCATCAAATAGGTGGTTGCAGAACTCAAGGCCATTATCAGTCCTCAGGCACTTGATTTTCTTCTCGGTATGATTCTCAACCGTCTCTTTCCATTCTTTGAACATCATAAAAGCTTCATCTTTAGTTCGTAAGAAGTAAGTCCAAACCTTCTTAGAGTAGTCATCGATGAAACTAATGAAATACTTGTTTCCTGCGAGACTTGCAGGTGTTGATGGTGAACCCCAGAGGTCTGAGTGAACGTACTCCAAGATCCTCGTGGTAGTATGCTTGGCCTTGGGGAAGCTCTGCTTATGAGATTTTCCGAGTACACAGCTTTCACAGAAGTCCAGTTTTCCAACTTCTCCTAGAGGTAAAAAACCTTCTTTAGCTAGGACTTCCATGTTTTTAGCGCTCATATGTCCCAATCTCGAATGCCAGAGCTTAGTCATAGCATCTTTCATTTCAGCTACATTGACTTCTCCATTTGAAACTTTGCCTTGCAGGTAGTAGAGACCGTCAATGTAGTTTCCAGAGATCACCTTCTGTCCATCCTTGTAAAAGGTAACAGTATAATCTTCACCTCTGTAATTACAGCCTGATTTTTCTAACATTCCGAATGATATCAAGTTTCTTCCCATGTCAGGCATGTATCTCACTTCAGTCAAAATCACCACTGATCCATCTGGGTTTGTGATCTTGATCTTCCCAATTCCCTTCACCTTACTGTAAGTGTTATTTGCCATACTAACTTTTCCACCATCAAACTCTTTTATATCAAACATTAACTCCTTGTTTGGGCATATGTGAAAGGTACACCCTGAATCCAAGATCCATTCATCCTTGCGATTATGCTGACTCGCAGTCAGAACTAAGGGCTCTTTAACCTCAGCCACAGTATTCGCGGATGACTCCTCAGACTGCCTTTTACCACGATTTGGACATTCCCTCTTCCAATGTCCCTCTTTGCCACAAATGAAGCAGGTACCCTTGTTTCCTTTGCCATTCTTGTTTTTATATTTTGATCTAGACTTAGACTTTCCCTTCTGATTACCATCTCCTTTATCTGACCTTTTGTTCGATCTGCCTCTTGATTCCACATAGAGACCTTCTGAGTTTGATTTAGTCTTTTTCAACAATCCCTTATGCCTTAACTCAGCTTCTTTCGCATATGCAGATGCCTTCACTTCTCTCACCGTGAGAGTTTCCTTGCCATTTCCATACTTAAGAGTATGCACCAGTGGCTCATAGGCTGGAGGCAAACTTGTCAGAAGTTGGATTGCCTGATCTTCATCACTAATAGTGATCTTCAAGCTTGCCAAATCAGAAATCAGCTTCAAGAATACATCAAGGTTAGCTTCTATGGACTTATCCTCTTCCATCTTAAAACTCGCAAACTGTTGCTTAAGATAGATTCTGTTTGGCAGGAGCTGAGCTTGATACTCATCTTCCAGAGCACGCCACATTTCAAGAGACGTAGGCTTATCCATCACCTTCCTGAGGATCACGTCACTTAGGCATGTACCAAGTAAGTTCCTCACTCTCAAGTCCATTGCCGCTTTCTTAGGATCTTTCCTTGGATCTGACCCTTCCTCTTGTTTTTCTGATGTAGATTCAATCGAGAAATCTTCATCTAGAACCGAGGCGAGACCCTGTATTTCAAGTTGTCCCAAGAGTTTATACTTCCACATTCCGAAATCTTCTTTCCCGGTAAATTTTTCCATCTCGAACCTTCCCAGTGTAGGCTCCATAGTAGATTCACTAAACGAGCACGACTACACTGATTTTGCAGAGAAAACCGTAGATCCAGAAGAAATCCAAGAAAACCTGAAGAGAAAACCCGATGACCACAAGAAAATCCGATCCAGATCAGAAAACCAAGGATCTGAGATAATCCGGTGACCGCGGAGATTTTCCGATCCAGTGATCAACCTTAAGGAAATGGACTTGAACCAGATCCTTCTCGGTATCCACTCCGCGATCACAAAACAGATAAGCGCTCCCTTTCCCTTATACTTTTCCCGAGAAAACCTTAGATCAATCCGTAGCTAGCCTTAGCTCTGATACCACTTGTTGAGATTAGATCTTTGATTCTAGCTAATCGAATTCAATCGTAAATGCAGGAAAGTAAAAGACACAGAGTTTTGTTTACCCAGTGTTCGTTTCCTACTCACTGGGGGGAGAAAACACGTCTCCCGTCGTTTTCACTATCGCCGGAAACGTTTACAGATGGTTCCGGTACACCGGAAACTACTGTACTCTGTTACAAAGGAGCCTTGGCTCAAATCTCTCTAGAGATGGCTTGAGGGTAAGCCTTTCTCTCTCTAGCCTTAGATTCTCTTGCTCTCTCTCTCTCTGTAACTCTCTTTTTCGTCACACACTCTCTGTTTCTTGTTGCAGGTTATAACGGAGAAGACGACGTTGACTCGCCACGTGTTCCTGAGCTCCAGCTGCTCATCTGTGGACTTCTCAGATGGGCTTAAGTGAGAAACGAGATGTGGTTGTATGGGCCCGGCCCATTAGGTGTTTGTGCGAATCCACATTCACAGCCTGAAACCACATACATACCAAATTGGTGCATACTAGGTTACAAGAGATGAAAACAGAGAATATGAAAAAATATGATTGTATGCCAGAGCTAAGGAAAAAAAAGCATTAATTTGGGCAATGAAAATGTTCTGCAATGTTTTGGTTACAAAAAGAAAAACACAAAAAATAGCAATGCAAAAAAGAAATATAAAATTTTTGAGGTAAAAAATAAAATAAAATTTTGGATGTAAATTTATCATACCTTGCATTCTACGATTCATAAACACAATTACCATAACTTGGATCAGTAATAATGATTGCACTGGTGTTTTTGAAATCACACACTTCTTCGGTGCGGTCGTGAATTTGATAATAAGCGTTTCATCACAAACGATGCATGGTTCATCAAAGTATTTGGGTTGACCAGGTGTGTTCCGGTGACTTTGAGCTCATCAAAGTTTCTCTTTATTTTAAAGGTCCTCTCTCTATCTCTCTCTTATTAAAATTAATTGATGTATATATTAATCTAGAACGTATTTGGATCCACCAAGACCAGGTGTGTTCCGGGACTTTGACTCACCGGAGATCATGATTCATGAACACAGCGGATGATCTTTCAATAAGCAAAATCTCTCTCTTCTTTGATTCTTCCCCCGAAGGTAGCTCTTCAGAAGTTGATCAATTCATGGTTCGTTCTTCTCCTTTTATTTCCCTTTAAGGAAAAAAAAAACAAATAACAATTTCCTCTAGATTACCACAACCTCTCCATCATAAAAAATCTGCAAAAACTTCCGTTGTCCAGCCTTAAAAATCTGCAAAAACTTAACATTATCTAACGATAATACCAAATCAATAGAATATGGTATTTGGATTTTTGGGTTTTTATAGACAAGTTCGGGTTTGGGTGAAAATCTGAGACATAATTTTATAGAGATATAGAGATATAGAAATTGTTCGGGTTTCTTTGAAAATTTATGTTCGGGTTGGGTTCGAGTTTTTTTTCAGTTTAGGGTTTTCCAGATTTTTGGATTTCGGGTTTTCGGGTTTAAATATATTAAATTTTTTTGAGTATTTTAAAATTCTGATTAGGGTATTTGGGTCGGGTTCCGAGTGAAAAAGTTTCCAGATTTTTTTTGTTCAGTTCAGGGTTTTCAGGATCTTTTTGATTTCGGATTTTAGGGTTTAGAAATATTAAAAAAGTTTGGGTTTTTTTAATTTTTGATTAAGGTTTTTTGGTTGGGTTCGGATTTAGGATTAAATTTTCTACACAAAACCACAATGTCACACTGCACAAACGTGCGGGTACTCTACTAGTTTTATAGCAATTTCACGTCGTCTCTCTGTAGATTTCTTAATTTTTTACCTAAATTTAAGTTTATTTAATAAGAATTAACTAGGGGTTGACCCCGCCCTGCACGGGGTGATGGTTTCTGAATTGTATTTTTATTAAAAGATGTTTATTTAAATATCTCAAAATTTTATGCGACGGATTTTTAATCTTTGTTAGATTATTGTCTTCGTTTATTCGTTTATAATATGAAAATTAAGCATTTTAAACTATTTTTTAAAAAGGTAAATAGATTAAAGTCTTGAACGTAGCCATATATTAAATATGATAGATTTAAGCGAGATACATAAAACTCAAATGACTACAGTATAATAAGTTAGTTTAAAGAACAAAAAATGTGAAAATAAAACATTATTCTTTACAAAAATTATACTGTATTTCATAAGATAAGAAGTCTTAGCTGTGTGCACACATTAGAACTAATTTTTTTTTCTTTTAAAACTAAAACACGGATTAAAATCAATTTTCTTTCGTTCTTTCAAAACTAAAACATGGATTAAACCATTTTTTCTTTCTTTCAAAACTAAAACATATTAGAACTATTTTTTTCTTCTTTCAAAACTAAAACATGCTTTATTATAATTTCAAAACAATCCAACCAATAAGAAGACAATCTGCATAATCTAAATTGTTAAAACAACAAAAATATAATTAACTTTATATTGAAAGTTGAAACAGATGGAGTAATATTCAAATTTTTAATCAAAATAAAAATTTATAAAAAAAATTTTTATTCAGTTTTATTATAGAATTTAATTAAAAACCATATTAAATGGAATAAAAATAATAATTTACCTTTAATACTACTAGGTTACACTAAATGAGGTTATATACTAAACAATTTACATTATTTTGTTTTTAAAAATTCAAATCATAGCATATACAGAAAAAGCTTTAGATTTTCTTTATTAGTTTTTTATATTGTGATTCATATTATTTTATAAAATAAAGTTAAACAAAGATGATAGAAGATATATAATGATTTAAAAAAATATTATGATAGAATTCAATTGAATTTCATATCTTCCTTATTTACTTATTTTCGTAATTGCCAATTAAGGAAAGAAAATAATAATAAAGGGATGGTAAGCATAATATGCAATGGCATATATTGTAATTTTTCTAGTAAATGTTGTCTTATTTAAAAGTTGAGCTGAGAGTGAACCTGGTGATGACACCTAAGCAATGACACTCTTGTTAATAACACATGAGATAAAGGTTATTTTGATAGTGTTTTCTCTTTTAATATATTAGGGATACGTGAAAATTAATTCAGGAAGCGGCTCTACCATGGAGAAGCCTCTCGTCGAAATGCACCAAAACTATGGGTCTAAATGGTAACCGCTTAATGTTGCTGAATGCGGAATCTGGTTGAATAAAATGATGACTTTTTGCGGAATCTGGCTGATTAGTTTGTAATATGAATGGTAACAGCTGAATGTTGCTGAATGCAGAATAAATAGTAGAAAATTTATTTGTGTAACAAAATAATAAAATATTTACCTATGTTAATTAATAAAATAAAATTTAAAAAATTGTGAAATATCTAAATAATGGGATTAATCAAAATGAATTATTTATGTAGGAATTTGGATTCATAAATTTTTATCAAACATCAAAGTATGAAAAAATAATAATAATAGACATTTAAAAAATATAACATTTTGATATTACCAATTCATTTATGAAAAGCATCTCATATGTGCCTATTATTTTACCCCCATATTTTTGTATTTATTTTAGACTAAATTAGTTATTATTTAAAACTTAGATAAGTATTACAATATTTTTTTTTTGAACATCAGATAAGTATTACAATATCTAATTTATCACATTATATCTGAATATACTCCTCTAAATATTATCTTGATACTTCAAAAATTACAATTGCTTTTATTAAACTATTTATAATAATACTTATAATGTGAATACTTACAAAATAAATAATTTTAATAACAATATTATAATATGAAAACTTACATTTATAAGATCAAACATAGGTAAGATAGATACAAATTGTTAAAGTAACAAAAATATAAAAATGTAAAAGAAACAAGTATGAAATCAATTCAGCAGATTTTGTCTTTTAGTGGTCTCTTTCTTACTATTCAGCTGAACACACTTTTATTCAACTGGTAACATAAACAATAAATTCAGCTGAATTCCTCTACATTCAGCAATTCCTCATACACCAGTTAAGCCCTATGTATACTTAGCTAAACGACATCGTTCTGTCACCTTCGTCACATTCGTCACCTTAAAAGAGGAGAAACATGACAACTGTTTTGTGCAATTAAATGCATTTTGCCAAATTTCTAGTGTACTCCCATTTCATTGTGCTGCGTTTTTGGAACGCGTTTGTAGCATCGCTGAATGGTAATCACAATTTACGACAACTACTACTAGCATGCCCTCTTATACAGTTATACTTCGCATTTAAGAAAACATAAAACAAAGGTTAATTTAAAATATTGTATCAAACATGCAATCACACGCTTATTCTTGGGTACATCAATGCATAATATTGGCTATTAATCGGCCAGATTATATTTTTCCATCATTAGCAGTCTGTAAGAAGACAGACGCAATCAGCGTTTGGAGTTCCGAGTCGATCACAGTAACTAGAAACAGATAATTGACCGTAATAGGAAATACACATTTTGTTGCATTCTTGTTTATCACATGGAACCATTGGCCAATGTATGGGACACGTTTTTTTCTCCTGATTCATACCCATTTCTCTGGCACCTAAAAAAATATAACAGAAAAAAATTCATCATTTTATGGCATGCATATAAAGTTCAAACTTTTTCAAACAATTTTGTACCTGAAACAATGAACATGGCCATGGAAAGAACAATAAAAATCTGGAGCTTCTTCATGATGAATTCCACAGTTTTGATAAACTTAATCGTAACTAAAATGTTTTATAGGTGAACTGACTTCTGGTTTATAGGAAAAAGAAAGGAATTTGTTTATGAAAAGATGGTCATATTTTCTGTTAAAGGAATTGTTGATTTTGTTAAATTATCAATTTTATGGTCAATGTGATATTATGTTTTAAAAGAGGCCGGATTTCTTTGACCTGATTAAATCAGTATCTTACATATGAATATACTACTTTAACAAAAAAAACATATGAATATACTATAGTTAGATGATTTGTTGATAACAAAGTAATAATGAACTTAACAAGATTAAAAGTGAGAGATTTTGTATTTAATAATTATGGCTGCCCTGTTCCAAAAAGTTTTGGGTTTGGTAGAGAATTAAATGAAATAATTAAAAGATTGGGTATAATTATTTCATGGACTTCTGTAATCCTTTTGGCCCAGGTTTCCATCATTATGTTTATATTATTAATTGAGAAATATATGAAAAACTTATGACCAAAAAACCAATCTAATTATAAAGAGAAAGTGTTTGACAACATATTTAATGAGAGTCAATTTAGTACATTGTAATGTTTGGATAAAAGAATAAGAGAAAAAACTATTTTGATAGAAGAATAAATGGAAAAAAATATTTGGATACAAAAATAATAACTTAAAACAAACCGTTGGCTTAGGAAACTTCCGTTTTCCAGCTCTTAAAAATCTGCAAAAAAAAGAAAACTTAACATAATCTAACGATAATACCAAATCAATAAAATATGATTTTGGATTTTCGGGTTTAAAGTTTTTTTATTTAATTTCAATTCGGGTTCATTTCAGGTTTCTTTTAAAGTTTTTTTGTTTTGTTTTTGGGTCTAGTGATATAAAAGTCGTTCAAATTTTTTAAATTTCTAAATCGGGTTTGGTTTGGATTTTTCTAAACAAGTTCGGGTTTGGGTGAAAATCCAAGACCTAATTTTATAGATATATAGAGATATAGAAATTCTTCGTTTTTTATTTCGAAAATTTCTATTCGGTTTGAGTTCGAGTTTTTTTGGTTCAGTTCAGGCTTTTCCCAATTTTTTGGATTTCGGGTTTTCGGATTTAGACATATTAAAAAAGTTTGGGTATTTTAAAATTTTGATTAGAGTTTTTAGGTCGGATTAGGGTTTTGGGTCAAAAAAATTAGTTTTTTTTTATTCGGTTCACGGTTTTTGGGATTTTTTTATTTTGAATTTTTCGGGTTTAGACATATTAAAAATGTTTGGGGTTTTAAAAATTTTGATTAGGGTTTTTTGGTCGGGCTCAGGTTTAGGATTTAGATTTTCTTCACAAAATTGCAGTGTCACACCACGCGTTTGCGCGGCTCCTCTACTAGTGTAATATATTATTTGCGAAGTCAGAATTTCGTTTTGAGTCACCACCTTTGCTCTCAGCCTGTTGATTACCGAGATACCCTTAATGAAAATCTTAATAATATCTTTTAGTAATCAAAATTTTGATTTTCCATTTTTTTATAAAATAAAATCCATAAAAATCAATAATATTTTTTATTTCCAAAATTTTCACCTTCCATATTTATCTTTAGACACCCGTCTAGCCAAATTATTGTCGGCTCAGAAAAAAACCCTAATGGCATGCCTATAAAAATTGTTTGTTATTGTTTCTCAGCTATGGTGTTTTAAATGGTTTTTGTATCGTGTGCTCCGACCACCTCCTCCCGAGCTCTTCTTTGTTAAGAGAATTAGTTTTAGTTTTTCATGGCAATTGATAGATGTGGAAATATGATTGAAGCTGGAAGTCTGGAACCGTCAAATATGTCAATGAAGCCGCAACTGCAACAACACCTTCCTCTGGTCTGCTTCCGACTCCTAACCGGCCTTGGCAGCCAAGAGCCAATGTAGATGTTGCCTCACCGAATCCAACCAATGCGTGGCTGATGGATAGTGGACCCACTCACCATATGACCATTGATCACCACAACCTCTCGATCAATCAACCTTACACTGGAAATGATGCGGTTCTTATTGGTGATGGTTCTAGCCTCTCTATCACCCACACTGGTTCCTTATCTCTTCCCTCTCACTCTAGACCTTTATCACTTACAAGCGTTATGTGTCTTCCTAACATTAAAAAGAATCTAATCTTTGTTTATCGCCTATGCAATGCTAATCAAGTTTCGGGTTGAATTCTTCCCTGCCCATTTTCAGGTGAAGGATCTGACCTCGGGAACCCCATTGATACAAGGCCATACCAAGGATGAGCTATACGAATGGTCGGTCTCTATGTCTACTCTACGCTCCTTCTTTGCGTCAACAACTCACAAGATTTCTACAACCGATTGGCACAATCGGCTCGGTCATCCTTCTATTATTATTCTTCAAAACATTATTTCCAAGTTTTCTTTACCCTGCAAGCAATCTGTAACTCAAACTTCTCTTTGTTCAGATTGTGCTATTAATAAAGCTCAAAAATTACCTTTTCTTAATAACGTCTACTACCTCTTCTCGACCTCTACAATATATTTTCACAGATGTTTCGAGCTCTGTAGCATCCGTAGCCCATTTTGGAGAGTTTTAGAAGTTGCATCGGGCGACGCAAGGTGTGCGTCGGTCGATGCAAGAATTTCAAAATCGGACTCGGTTTAATTTAAGTTGGTTTGGGCCGGTTTAGGTTTAGGAAAACCCTGATTTTCGTATTAAAAGTCGCAGCCATCAAGGGGAAGAGCTGTTTTGTCGTTTTGTGAGTTCTTGAGGAGAAGAGAGGCGATTCGAGGTGAAATCCGGAGTTCTTCGTCTAATCTAAGGCTCCTTGTTGCTGTTCTTCGTGGTGTTCATCTCCTTTCTCCGTTTTCAATCCAATTCAAGGTGAGTGCATGACTGTAGGTCCGCGATTCACTAGATTCGGAATTGATTGAGGTTGTTCTTGTTGTGTTCATGTAATAATCGGGTTTCTGTGATGTGTTTTTGGGTGATTTCGTGATTGATTATGTGTTTCTGTGCTATCATTGTCGACCTGACAGACGTGCGTCGGGCAACGCAAAGCGTACGTCGGTCGACGCAAAGTGGTCTAGGTCGACAAACAAAAAGCGTGCGTCGCTCGATGCAAGTCAGTTCGGTCTGGTCCAATTGAAATTGATTTTGGTTTAAATCAATTTAATTTATGATTTAATCTTGTTATCTCGTTATTTCGGATTTAAATAATAAATGAGTATTTTCATTAATTAAATGGTTTAAAATAATGAGGAAAATTATTATTTAATTATAAAATTATTTAATAATTGAAAAATGGAGTTTCATAATTATTGAGAATTATTAATAATATTATTTAACTGCAGTAATTGCCGAAATGGCATGTAGGCAAGGTGATTACCTCCCTAAGTATTTACGCAAGTTCATTCCAATGTATTACAGGTAGAAGATTTGTGTGATCGCGGAATCAAGGCTGAAGAGGGGATGATAGGATTTTATATGTTTTGCATTATTTTATTTGAACAAGTTTAAGTTGGTAGACTTGTTTATTTTTATTTTTGGTTCCACTGAACTGATGTTATTTGATATTTATTTATTTATTTTATTTTCAGACTTCCGCTAGAATTGTTTAGGATTTATCAAAAAAAAAAAAAAAAATTGTTGTTTGAAGCTCTCTCATAGCCTCGATCGACAACTACAAATACTCTTTGGTGCTCGTTGATCAGTACACCCAAGATGTACCATGACCTCAAGAGGTACTATCATTGGGTCGGGATGAAGAGGGATGTAGCTGGGTTGCGAAGTGCAACACTTGTGCCTTGGTGAAGGCAGAGCATCAGGTTCCGGGTGGTCTTTTGCAGAGTTTACCCATTCCAGAGTGGAAGTGGGACAGGATTACGATGGATTTCGTGGTTGGACTACCTGTTTCGAGGACTTTCGATGCTATTGGGTGATTGTGGATCGGTTGACTAAGTCCGCACATTTCTTGGCCATCAAGAAGACAGATGGAGCTGCTGTTTTGGCTAGGAAGTTTGTGCGAGAGATTGTGAGGCTGCATGGAGTGCCAGCTAGTATTGTGTCAGACCGTGATCCCAGATTCACTTCAGAGTTTTGGAGAGCTTTCAGGCAGAGATGGGCACTAAGGTGCATTTGAGTACAGCTTATCATCCGCAGACAGATGGTCAGTCAGAGAGGACTATTCAGACTTTGGAGGATTTGCTGAGGATGTGTGTGTTGGATTGGGGTGGCCATTGGGCAGATCACCTGAGCTTAGTTGAGTTTGCATACAACAACAGCTTTCAGGCGAGTATTGGCATGGCTCCATTTGAGGCTTTGTATGGGAGGCCATGTAGGACACCCCTATGCTGGACCCAAGTGGGGGAGCGCAGCATGTATGGAGCTACTTATGTTCAGGAGACGACAGAGAAGGTCCGTGTTGTGAGGCTGAACATGAAGGAGGCTCAGGATAGGCAGAAGAGTTATGCAGATAGACGCAGACGAGAGCTTGAGTTTCAGGTTGGAGATAGAGTTTATCTCAAGATGGCTATGTTGAGGGGTCCTAACAGATCCATAGCAGAGAACAAGCTGAGTCCGCGTTTTATGGGTCCGTTTCCAGTAGTGGAGCGAGTTGGGCCATTGGCTTACAGGCTGGAGTTGCCTGAGATTATGAAAGCCTTTCACAAGGTTTTTCATGTGTCGATGCTGAGGAAGTGTCTTCACCCTACAGAGGAGTTAGTGGCTAGGATTCCAGAGGATCTTCAGCCAGATTTGACAGTGCCGGCAGTGCCTGTGAGGATTTTAGAGAGGAGGGAAAAGGTTCTGAGGAACAAGAGGATTCCCTTACTGAGGATTTTGTGGGATTGCAGTGGTTCTACAGAGGAGAATTGGGAGCTGATATCACTATATTTTACATGATTTTACTATATAATATTTATGTTTTCAAACGGTTTTTGCAAGATTCTTTGCCTTTAGAGGTAGTTTTCTTGTATTTGTGGGATTTGAAGTCTTTGTAGGTGAAACCATCAAAAAGGATGCAAAAAGGAGTAAAAGAGCCTAAATCAAGATCCATGCAAGTTTCCAAGTCAAGAACATCATTTTATCTCCAAGTGTTAGTTCTCGCTAGCGCGCAGAACGAAGCTTCGGAAGTTTGGCCGCGCGCGGAGGAGTTCCCGACGTCCAAAAGTTACGATCTTGATATGGAAAGATAGATACTTGAGTCATGCATCACGTCGAAGTGGAATGAAGCCATTTGGATCAACTATGAGGCCTAGACTTATTTTCTACCGAGACATGTCCGGTAAGCGAGCAAACGAAGCCCATGGAGGATTTGGAGTGTCTAATGGCCCGAGCAGCAGCGCCAAAGGCCTTGATCGAATAGAGAAGAGGCCTGGCTAATGTTTGGAGCTTTCCTTGGTACAATGTCGGCCCATACACGACGTGGAGAAGAAGGCTTTGCTCATGGGAAACTTTCCTTTTCCGGCATGAAGAAAACCCTACGCGACTTCGCCCATATATACATGTTTTTAGCCGCTGAAGAAGAGAGTCGAGCGTGTGAGTTTGTGAGAAGAGAGTCAGAGAAGAGAGAAAGAAGCCCTAGGAGATCGTCCAAGAAGAAGGAGGCGCCGCTCAACTCTTGTTCTTTCTTTTTCATTGTTTCCATTTCTATAAACTTGATCTTAAGAGTTTTCAAGGGAGAATCCGACTTTGTTCATCAATAGAGAAGCTTTCTTCATCCCTTTATCTCTTTTAATACTTGCATAATGTTTACAATCATGCTTTGCTTGCTTGTTTGCATCATGGCCGAGTAGATCTCTTAGTTAGGCCGAGGAGATCTATGGTGGCCGTGATGATTTGATTGTGTTGCAACTTATTGGGATTTATCTTATGGATCTTCACCTTTACTTGAGCTTAATGCATGATTACTCTACCGTACATCTAGTAATCTGATCTTAGAGAAATAGAACCACGACAGTGCTGAATCTAGATCTCAAAACTAGTATTTGGTGAGCAATAGATCATAGCCAACGAAAGCTGAGTTATGGTTTATTGTGAACAATTGAATCTTGATCCTTTAATGCATGTTTGCAATTCTAATAGCCAACGAAAGCTGAGTATATTAGGTTGTTTTAAACATAGTGGTTGGAGCCACGACAGTGGAAAGACCATACACTAGTGATTCATGTTCAAGACGGCTCTACACACATCCCATGCAACTATCTTTTCATCATTGCTCCATATGATTGTCCTTTGCCTAACTCTTGTTTTAAATTGTTTACAACTCACTCACATTTCTTTTGTTTTGTTTTCTCATTCTAGGTCCAAAACCATCCATATTGCGAGCTAGCTACAAACCATCTCACAAGGTGTTAAGCGAGAACACTTCCTCCTCGTGTTCGACCCCGACTACAACACGGCTGTGCACTTGCAGCTCATTAGTTGGGTTTATAAATTGTGAAAATTTGAGGCAATCTAAACCCGCCATCAGGAGCCAAAGGCAAAGATAAGCTGAACAGTTCCCAGTTGTTTGGCTTTTGAGATATGTACTTGTATTTTCGTTTTGGTTGTAACGATATACACTTTTAGAGTTATATGAGATGCAATTTTTCTCATTCTGTCTTGTGTTGTTAAAGGCGTTTCGGATGTTACATGTGTTTGACCAGTTTTTGGTTGTGAGACGGTTTAATCTTATTGTTATAGACGTTTTCCAGAATTTTTACTCTAAGGGTTGCGGTCCTGAATAACTCATCATGGTTTTTGGAGACAATGGTTCTCTGGCAGACTCTCTGGGTGCAAGTAGGCCTCAGTTAGAGTAGCTTATCTGGGTGCAAGTATGCCTCAGTATAAGCGGTTTCGGGTACGTCTTGGTGCAAGTGGGCCTCAGTACGGACCGGTGTGGACTTGTCTGAGTGCAAGTGGGCCTCAGTACAAGTGGTTTTGTGTGGTTTTGAATGATGAGTTAGGAGTGAAAATGCCTTGGAACGTGCTTATAACTTAGGATTTGACGTGTGTCTCGGGGATCACGTGAGGATCTCCAGTGTTGTGGCCTTGCGAGGTCGGGTTTTTGGTGGTCCTTGTGACGTTTGTAGTAGGATTCGAATACCTCGAATCCATTTTAGTGGGCCAGAGTTGTAACATCCGTAGTCTATTTTGGAGAGTTTTAGAAGTTGCGTCGGGCGACGCAAGGTGTGCATCGGTTGACACAAGAATTTCGTTTGGTTTGGGCCAGTTTGGGTTTAGGGAAACCCTGATTTTTGTTTTAAAAGTCGCATGCGTCAAGGGGAAGAGATGTTTTGTCGTTTTGTGAGTTCTTGAGGAGAAGAGAGGCGATTCATGGTGAAATCCAGAGTTCTTCGTCAAATCTGAGACTCCTCGTTGCTGTTCTTCGTGGTCTTTGTTTTCAATCCAATTCAAGGTGAGTGCATGACTGTAGGTCCGCGGTTCACTAGATTCGGAATTGATTGAGGTTGTTCTTGTTGTGTTCAAGTGATAATCGGATTTCTATGATGTGTTTTGGGTGATTTCGTGATTGATTATGTGTTTTGGTGCTATTGCTGTCGACCTCAAGGACGTGCGTCGGGCGACGCAAAATGGTATGCGTCGACCGAAGTCGCCCGACGCAAAGTGTGCGTCGCTCGACGCAAGCCGGTCCGGTCTGGTCCGATTGAAATCAATTTTGGTTTAAATCAATTTAATTTATGGTTTAATCTGGTTATCTGATTATTTCGGATTTAAATAATTAATAAGTATTTTAATTAATTTATTGGTTTAAAATATTGATATAAATTATTTAAACAAGGTGGTTGTCCCGCACCTTGTGCGGGTACAATATTTTTTAAATACAATTATTAATTAAAGATTTAAATAATATAAGTAGTACAACTTTTTATTGTATTCATCGTTTTTGTTTTCGCAAACTTCTTATTTTTGTAATCTTGAGGTGTCTTATTTTTATCTTCTCTTTCTTGTTCTTCTACGTAATATTCTTCATTTGTTTTGGAATTTTCTTCACATTCCATTATTTCTTCTTTCCTTTCTTTTTCCTCATGTTCGACTTTTCTTTTTCTTTTCTAAATTTTTCATCTTCTTTTTCACTGTTTTCTTTTCTTTTACTTATGTATCTATTATGTCTTGTTTGTGTCTTGCATATCACCTACCAATTCATTTCGATAGTTAAAATTTTCAATATTTTTGAAATAGATTCTATCTTTATATAGTTGAGGTCTTTTAAAAATTTATTAGTTTTGTTATCTTTCAATTCTGGATTTTCTTTAGTTGTTTTAGTTTTTTTTTCTATTTGTGAATGTAATTTTGAAAGTAGATATAAATTTCAAATAAATGATTTTTTTATTATGAAATTCTTCTGTAATAATTCAAGTTTTTTTAAAATACACCAAAAACTAAACCCTACCCCATCAATATAAACCCTACACCCTAAACCCAAACCCACAGTGTAACACCACCCCCTAAATAACCCAAACATAACCCAAACACATTGTAACACCACTACCAAATAACAACCCCTCCCCCCCCAATCCGCACACCTAAACCCACATTTTACAAAATCTTTTTAGATAAGTTTATTCAAATTAGGGTTTCATAAGATTTAAGTTGAAAATAAAAACGAAAGATGTACATACCACTAATTTTTGTCAATGCATTTTTTTGAGTTGGTACCATAGTTGATTTCTTTGACTCAATTAGCTAACAAACCTGGAATTTACTGTTATAAAGGTAAAAGAAGTTAGAATTCTTTGAATAAAATTTCCAGAAAATAACGAATAATCAGTTAAACATTAGATCTAATACAACTAAGATCTAGCAATAACTATAAACCTACATGACAAAAGATGAAATATGGAATCGAAGAATTTAGAACACGAAAAAGAAGAAACGAAATTCTGTTTATTTTGCTTGTTAAATAGGACTAAGTCGGTTGTAAAATCTAGAGTTTTTTTAAAATACCTAATTATTTGATTTCTTCCAGAAAAGTGGTGCGGTAATATGATAGTTAGGATATTTATTTAAGTGATAAATATAAATCGAGGAAAAAAAAAAGGATAATTATCAATATTTTAAGATCTTGTAATAAAATCACGGAAAAATATTAAACAATATTTGATCACTCCTAAAGGCAGCAGAATAAGATTAGAAACCCGAAAAAAAAAATCTTTAAAATAAAATAAGATTAGTAATCTTTTTACATTTTTATTGTAATTGTTTTTTTTTTTGAATTCATGACATAAAAAATGAATGATTTGTTTCATTTTTAGTTTTATCCAATATAGAGACTTACACATGTCTAAATCTGATCAATTGATTAATTCAAAATTTTGTTATTCCATGCTAGAGATTTCAATTGATGAAATCTTTATTTAATATTTTTTTATCTAACAAAAAATTGAAAATTAAACAATTTAAAATTTGAATATCAGTTTTATAATTTTTTAATATGATTGAGGTACTTGATAAATATTTTGATAGTTATCTATTTATATTATTTCTTTTTCAATTTTTTTTTGCCTCAGCCCATTATAAATTTTCATTTTCATTACTAGTTATTTTTTTATAACTATTTTGCTAGTGTTTATTTCTGTTATTACATTTTTCCAATTTACTTGTGTTAACACATGTCTTCACCGGATCAAATATTATATACACATGTAACGATAATAATTTTGATTTTGATCCAACTGATATAGAGTTAAATATTCTTCATTGATATTTTGAAATTTTAAAGACATGATATTTTATTTATTAATGAGAGATATGATTATACAAAAGTTAAAAACACATAATTAAATCATGAACGCTATAGCTTATTATATATTGACTTTTTTTCTTTTTCATAATGGGATTCTTAATAGATGTAAATTTAAAAAAAAAAAAAATTGTTTACTGTTTTTCTGATTTTTGTTTTCTTAATGGATGTAACATTTTTTCATTTTAATTGTTTGTTTTCTAGTTATCTATTTTTTCTTGGTCTTATCCATTTTAATTTTTTTTTATTTTTTATTATTCCATGATACATGTCACGATCTTAATATTTTCAGATTTAAAAAAAACACTTGTCACAATTTTGTGAGCTATGAAAATCCTACGTATCGTGGTCGTGTATTTTCAAAGACGTGATTTTTAAATTTGAGAAAGAGAATCAAAAGAGAATTAATGAATTTACTTTGATGAGTTTGTGAATGAGTAAAAAGAGATTACCTTAACTCTCTTTTTATAGGGGTTCATGTAACCTATTCCATGTACTTAGAGAAAATTTAGTTTACATAATCTATCCATGTACCAATATGATTTTATTTATTATATTATTTTGAATTTAATATGTGTTTGGATAATATAAATTTGATGAATGGGAAACCTTTTTCAGATAAATATTTCTATTAGGATATATTAACAATAATAGATAAAAAAAAATTAAAAACAATTCCTTTATCTAACATTTTTTAATTATTAATTGTTTCTTTTTTCCAAAACATGTGTCACAATCTTAAAGGACGTAACATTAAAAGTGATACATGTGACAATCCTATAAATTATAAAAATCCTCAAATCCAGCTTTATATAATAAGATTGAAAATTGAGTTTAATAATTATTGAGAATTATTAATAATATTATTTAATTGTTAGTAATTGTGTAAATGGCTTTTAGGCAGGGTGATTGTCTCACTAAGTATTTATTAAATACTTTAAACTTCATTCCAATGTGTTGCATGCAAAAGATTTGTGTGATCGCGGAATCAAGACTGAAAAGGGAATGATAGGATTTAATGTGTTTTGCATTATTTTATTTGAACATGTTTAAGTTGTTAGATTTGTTTATTTAATTATTTTTGCTTCCACTGAACTGGTGTTATTTGATATTTATTTATTTAATTTATTTTCAGACTTCCGCTAGAATTGTTTATGATTTATTTTTTTTAAAAAGTTGGTTGTTTCAAGCTCTCTCGTAGCCTCGATCGACAACTACAAATACTCTTTGGTGATCGTTGATCACTACACCCGATATACGATATACGTGGCTCTACCCCTGAAATTAAAGTCACAGGTCCATGAAACATTCACTGCCTTCAAAAAAGCTCTGGCATCTCTCACTTTACCACCCCACCACATACCCCTGAACACATGATGGTATCTCTGAGAGAAAGCACGGCATATCGTGGAAACCGGTCTCACGCCGGTATGCCAAAAACTTACTGGTCATATGCCTTTCCAAGTGCAACATATCTGATCAACCGTCAATCCACCTCTATACTCAATATGGAGTCTCCATTCCAGCGATTATTTGGTGTCTCTCCAAACTACTCCAAATTAAGAATCTATGGATGCCTCTGCTTCCCATGGCTGCGCTCGTACACGCAGCACAAACTTGAAGATCGTTCAACATTGTGCATTTTCATAGGCTACTCTCAGATTCAAAGTGCCTACTTGTGTCTTCAACCAGTCACTGTATGAATCTATGTCTCTCGACACGTCCACTTTGACAAAACGGTGTTCCCATTTCACAAACCGACACCTTTGGTACCGATGCAGATTCAGAGCCTCCCGTCGCCATCTCCATCTCCACCCGTCAAGTTCCTTCCCTCACCTACACCGCCGACTCCATCGCCACAAGAGCATACACTGTTGCCTGATCTATCGAAGTCGTAGTCTCATCCCACTTCTTCATCCTCGGCACCAACGTCAGACTCATCAACCGACGTTCCCAACACCGTCAACTCGGGTTCTTCCAATTCACTCTCTTCCTCCAATTTGACATCGCAATCCAGTCAATCTTCACTCCCTCAGACCCAATCTACATCTTCTCACAGCCCAACAGCTCACAAGGCCCAAACCTCTACATCAGAATCCCAGACCTCTACATCTGCAGCCCAACCACGACACCCAAACTCAACCTCTGTTGACTCTATGACCTTGTCTTCTTCCATGATGGTGTCTCCGATCGACAATCTTCCACCTCCAAATCCACTTCCGGCAAATCCTCCACCGGAGAACCAACATCATATGACAACCCAGCGCAAGAATCACATTACAAAACCTAACCCCAAATATAATCACTCCGCGGTTCTCTCTGTCTCTTGTCAGATCGAACCGCAAACTCTTCGACAGGCTCTCCAAGATAAAAGATAGTGCGGCGCCATGTCATCCGAAATTGATGTCTTTGCGATAAATCACATGTATGATTTAGTTCCTCGTGAACCACATTTTAATGTCGTTGGATGTAGATGGATTCTTTGTTACTTGGATGGTACACCAACGCACTGAATTTATTTTTCAGCTACTAATCCCCTCACACTTCACGCCTACTCTAATGCTGACTGGGGTGGTGACACAGATGATTACACCTCAACCAATGTAGTCTACCTTGGCAACCATCCTGTTTCGTGGTCCACAAAAAAGCATAAGGGTGTGGCACGGTCCTCCATTGAAGTAGAATACAGTATGGTAATGTTAGATTTGCAATCTCCTCACTGAATTCGGTATCATTCTCCCTACGCCTCCACTAGTATTTTGTGATAATGTTGGCGACACTTTCCTCTATACTAATCCCGTATTCCATTCAAGAATAAAGTACATCGCTTTTTGATTATCACTTTGTTCGTGATCATATACAAGAAGGAGCTCTCAAAGTGGCTTACGTAAACACTCGAGATCAGTTAGTCAGTGTTCTCACCAAACCACTATTTCGGACACATTTTCTTGCACTTAGAGGCAAGATTGGAGTCATTGCATCCCCTTCATCTTGAGGGGACGTGTTAAAGATATAGTTAAAGATATAATCTCCTTGTTTTTATGATGTATATTCTACGGCTATACTTTAGAAATATTTTGTAATTATATTAGTCTAAAGTATTCTCTCTTCTTATATAATTAGAGCTTCAAGCATCTTAGTGAATAGATAGGAAACACATTCCTTATAGATTCTACAAATCAAATCCTTTCCAAGGATCTCAAAAGTTATACGATTAATTAAGAATAACTAGGGCTTGGCCCGCGCGATGCGCGTGTAATGTGTATTACAAACCATTTAATAAGTATATATTCAAATTTACAGAATTATTAAATTTATTCTATGTTTATATAATTATGCTTTCTAAACTTTATTTACATAGTTATAAATTATTTAAGGAACATAGAAATAATATCCAAATCAAATATGTTGTTTTAAGATATAAGAAATGATGAATTGTTAAATCTTTAGTTTTAAACATGAACGTAAAGAGACAATCCATGCCCATCAGATGGAGAGGCCAGTGAGAGAGAGCAGCGAAAAAACAGTGAGAGAGAGCAGCGAGAGCTACTCGAAATGAAATGTCTCCTTCATATTCCACAATTTGGCCACCCTTTTCTGTTTCATTAAACAATATTATAAATATAAGTATGCGTTTTATTCCGCGTATTATATATGAATGAAACTTATGCGCAAATATTTTCTTATAAGGTTGTAAACAATTGGGTTTCAATTGTCACAAAATTGAGGTTGTAAATATAGTCATATTTGGTGTGATCAATATCCCACAATGAAAGCCGTTCGACCTTAAACGATGTATTTGTGGAATCAAAACTTTTCTAAATCCCACAAATATGTTTTTTAGTATGTTTTGTTTTTTTCAGCATGGATTCGTTTTTTGAACGAAGCAAAATTTGTAAAAATCATATGGTGGCCGAAGGACTTTCAGTTCCACACAATGTTACTTTTTTCAGCATGGATTCGTTTTTTGAACGAAGCAAAATTTGTAAAAATAATATGGTGGCCGAAGGACTTTCAGTTCCACACAATGTTACTTACTTTTCATGGGAGGTGCTATATCCTTTATTATGGAACTGCCTACAGTACTTATTCTCCTTTCCTTGAGTCCTGGATCGTTATAATTTTAAATATATATGTGTAATAATAAGTTGGCTGAATGTTGATACTGAAGATTTTTTACCTTCTCTTTTAAGTTCTCCTCTTTAGTCCTTAGAATTCTGATTTTCCTTGCTTGCCTTGCTGTCTCTATTACAATATGTAACGTATTATTTGATATTATGAATGATGTGCCGAACACATCTTAATAGAGTGGCAATGATACAGCAACTAATTGATGACAATAATTCGTTACGTAAATTAAGGGTCCTATCATCTTTACATTAAACTTGTATCTTGTTTGTCGATGGACGAACTGCCTCTCCATCCTCATGTTCTGTAATCGTTCCGTTCTTGAAAATGCTATATGTGGGAACCGTCAGGTGTTAGTATGGTTCGTATCTCATACATTATCAGTTTCCAAAAAGGGCACTTCTTATATTTTTTTCTTTATATGTTGTGCCTATGTTAGCATTACGCAAATGAAATACGTGTTCATGTTTGTAAATTGTGTACCTTGTTTTTTTTCCTTGTTGTTACGTCGTCACGCTGAGCTTGAAGCATGTGCATCGCAGATCGAAACGGAGTAAAATGCTTGGCGGCGAGAGAAGCCGAAGCGACGTCTTTACAAGCTTGATTGCATCAAGCCGTCACTCACCACGACGTAATTACGGCAACATAACAAAAATCGGGAAGCGCATATGCTGTGAATGAAGCTGAAGACGCCGAATCGGCTTACATGGATCCTGATGGATACGAAACGACGACTAAGACATGAAATGAAACCTTGTAGTATGAGTATATAGTAAGTAGACTGAGTTTCAAAGTAAAGAAATTCAAGGTATTAGTGTTTGACGTACCTATTGTTAGCACGGTCACAAAGGTTTGATGATGTAGGTCGTCGGGGATTATTGATTGTTACTGATTTCCTTCGGTTAAAATATGGTGAAATAAGAAAGAAGAAGATTACAATGAATTTGGTGAATACGCAGAACTAAGAAGTATTTAGAAAGTTGGAAGTGGGGATAGAGTGATAGATTGTTTTTGGTTGCAAAGAAAGTGGGTATATTGGATTTTAATTTTTCTTTCATCCGTTATGGTCAACTGATCAAAAGAAATTAGCAAAAGATACTTTATTTTCCGTCTTTCCGTCTTTCAGTAACGCATAAGTTATTGTTTTATTACTGGTTAGAGTTAGCATTTGTTTCATTTCGATTTAGTAACGCCTTCGTCTGTCAAACATAAACGTCTTGGGCCTTATAGTGGGCTCACCTGATATGAAGAAGGGGAGAGCCCATTGAGTGTGATGGTCAACGTAGCTTTCCGAAAGCAAAACAGGAACCCTAATTCGGAAGGCGTAAGCGACGATCTGGCGGAACAGAGACAGTGGGAGTTTGAATGGAGATCGTCGCCGGAATAGTACTCGAGACAGCTGGGGGTGGAGTGTACGCATTTCTCACTGGTGGGTTGTCGGAGAGACGATTGGAGACTGCGGATATTGCGAATCCAGTTTGTGAGGCGGTTTGGGACGGCGGGATTGGAGATCCATTTTGTTTTGGAACGTGCATCAGTGGCGGATCCTTCATCGTCGTCGCGAAAACTAACTGAGCTGAGACTGAGAGTCCACTTTGCTTTACTATCTTCTTCCTACTGTTGTCTTCTAGCGGGTGATAGCGTATACGCAGAAGACATGGAGGTTGGAATCAGGAGAGCCGATGCACGCTGAGAACAGTTATATCAGAGCACGGGTCTCGTCAAGGTCCAGGTAAAAACAGTTTGATATATAACGAACTCTACTAAACAAAAATCACACTCAAAAGTGAGCTTGTGGGAAACACATCCAAGGTTAGGACTTTGAGATCAATTTTATAATTACCAATTCATGTAATTGGGATTGTTGATTTTGTCTTCTCCAATACCGGTGATGGAGTTAAGCAGATAATTTGAATCGGATAATGGAAAACTGTCATACGTGGTTCATATGAGTACAACCACAAACCATCTTCAACCCCATCTCAAATCTCAAAGCCATACTCGACAAACTCTGGAACCTGCAATCCTCACGAACGATGAATGCTTGTAGAGAGAAAAGATTCGAGTTTGATTATGAGGTTTTTTTGTTATAAAGATATGTTGTAGGGACATTAAACTAAAATATTTTTTTCGTAATTTTTTTTAACTAAATGCTGCCACGTGTTTTTTTTTATTAAAAGGAGGAGATTGGTCAGGTGTCACTCAACTGGAAATTGATATCCTTTCATTATAATATAGATACTTCAAATCAAAACCATGCAACAAAAAGTCAAACAAAAAATTAATTCTTAGCTCGAAAGTATCACGCATAATTCATAAACTTACCTCCCATCGACTTCTTCGCCCAGCTTCTTCTATTGCCGTGTCAAAAAGGAAAACACTTGTCAGTTCTCTAAACATCTCATGTACACATGTCTTAGCCTTATCAGAGCTTTTGAGGACGGAGTTCGCTCATCTCTCAAGCGCCTCACTGGAGTCGACTGGTCAAGTGACGGAGCCCTCTCACCGCCAAGTGCTTCTCTTTCCGGCCTCACCGAAACCTCCGCCGGAACCACCGCCGGAACCACCAGATCCGCCGGAACCACCGGATCTGCCGTTTGTATGGCCATGTTCTCAATTTCCGGGATGTCTTCCGACCGGTAACCTTCCATCTCCCCCTCGTTCTCTGCCTCCATGTATCTCCCCAGATCCGTTCATGTTTCCAATCGGAAATCTGCTGGATGCCTCGCTCCTCCCACTTTTCCACATAGTCGCAGCCTTGCTTTCCACAAGTACCTACAGATCCACAGCCTTGCTCTCGACCCATGGCACGAAGTCCGAGGTAGCCGTCTACCATAATTTCAAATCTCCTTTCTACGGCCACAATCCTCCTCTGAAGGCTCCACATAGCTCAACCATCTCGAGCGTTCCAGGAGCAGCGCAAAGAATCGTCTCCTTCACGGAGAGACCACATCCATCAACGTCCTGCAAAAGAAGAAGCCCAATGTGGAAAGATTCATCAGCAGAAGCCCACCTCAATATCATACCGGCTCTTGTCGACGCTTTATCTTTAGGTGTATGTTGTGTTGATCCTTCCTCTGTGATGAAGAAACAACAGTCCATAATTGTCGGGTTATCCACAGATTATGTTGACTTAGATTCTGGAGTACTGCCAACTTACCGCTGTACCTCTGAATCTACATCCGCAGCTCTAGAGTATTGCCAGCTTACCGGCGTATCTCTGAACTCCCTCCCCTCCTTTTTGGAGAAAGCCTTTCAACGCTCATCAGGAGCTATCATCGTTCACTTGTCTTCAAGGACAGAAGAACTTGCCCTTTCTAAAGGGATCTCGGTTATTTTCTACGAATCTAACCTTTTATCTATCTTTAGCATGCTTTGTACTTTGCTTCTCGCACCTTGTTCGGACTCTTTGGCATCGAGCTTCCGATTTTGGTTTGTAACCGGTTTCTAAGTTTAATATAAATCATCAGTTGTTCAAAAAAAAAAGTGTGGACGGGGATTTATGTTTTGTACCAAACTCCATATCATTTTAACTCAAACGGTCTCAAATAGCATTAGACAATCATTTTAACAGGTTTCTCAGCAAAATCCCTCTCAAAGTTTTTTTTGTTTCTTTCAACAAAAGGTTTAACCCTCTCAAACTTTTCTTTTTGAGCTCTAGCCAACACTGCATCAGATGTATTAATTGTTTGGTAAATTATCCATACATTCCCGAAAGTAATCATCTGGCTGTACACATTAATTTGTTTAACGTCATATTACCTGACTGACATGTATAAATTGCACTACCAGATGATTACTTTGTGAATGTATGAATGTATAAATTTACCGTAAAATATTGTCCACGCAATGATGGAAAGTGTAAGTATCTATTATTTAAGATTCATATGTTATATAAAAGTGTCCATAATCCGACATATATACTGTTATATATTATTTAGCAAATTTGTAAGTGTGTTCCATTTTTAATCTTCTTTATATTATTAATTCAGAAGTACATGAAAAATTTATGACCAAAAAATCAATCTAATTATGAAAAAAAAAAGTGTTTGGCAGCACATTTAATTAGAGTCAATTCAGTACATTGTAATGTTTGGATACAAGAATAAGAGAAAAAGCTATTTGGATAGAAAAATAAATGGAACAAATTGTTCGGATACAAAAATAATAACTCAAAACAAACCGATGGTTTAGAAAACTTCCGTTTTCCAGTTCTTAAAAATCTGCAAAAAAAAAAAATTTAACATAATCTAACGATAATACCAAATCAATAGAATATGCTTTTTGGATTTTCAGGTTTTTACAGACAAGTTCGGGTTTGACTGAAAATCTGAGACCTAATTTTATAGAGATATAGAGATATAGAAATTATTCGGGTTTCTGTGAAAATTTCTGTTCGAGTTGGGTTCAAGTTTTTTTTTTCAGTTTAAGGTTTTCCAGATTTTTTGGATTTCGGGATTGCAGGTTTAGATATATTAAAAAAGTATGAGTATTTTAAAATTTTGATTTGGGTATTTGGGTCGGGTTCTGGGTAAATTTTTTATTATGGTTTTTGGTCGGGTTCGGATTTAGGGTTCAAAATTTCTACACAAAATCACAACGTCACACCGTACAAATGTGCGGATACTCTACTAGTGTATTGGTAAAGATAAACACTCATCATAATATGAAGTTTCTCTTTGTTTACATGGCATGTAAATCAAGTTTCTCTCTGTTCCCTATTGACCACGTCGTCGCAAGACTTTAAAACTCGGTGGTCACTCACTCGCTCGTCCACCGTAACGAAAATAATAACTTTTTTCCTGATTTGTTTCCATAGTCAACAAACCTCGAGTGTCCAGTTTACAGATTTACATTTTTGCCGTTAATGACGTCAAGTTTAGAAAGTAGGAGTGTTTATCTTCAGTTATATCAACTTTTTCTTAAAGTGATGTGAATCTATTCGGCTTTTTTAAGTAAACTGTAACCATGGGATGATAGATAGAAAATAAATAATTTTCTGTATCAATTCCTGCTCTGTCTAAAACATTATATCATCTATTTGGTCATTATTCCTGTTTGCTTACTTACTGTATACAAAAAGTCAAGGTAATCCTGAGCATTCACTTCCTGTTGATTTCATAACGTCACTAATAAGCAGTCCCATTAGTTTGTAGTCTTAAACCGTATCTAAAACAAACAAAGTGTCATTCGCTGAACAATCCTATTCCCGGTCTGTACATATTACTGTCTCAATGAAATAGAATTCGCTGTGAAATTAAACCCAGGTTATGTGGTCTGTGGTTTAAGAGTTGAGAGTTTGCACTAGATGTACAAAACACTAGAGAGCTTGCAAAAGAAAAATGTGATATTGATATTGATACTGATATAGGTATAATATTCCTCTCATTTATTGCTAAATGAGTAAACATTTATTTTATTTTTGTTTTATAGCCCACATAGCCAATGAGTTCTAGCCCATGAGTTCTAGGGTTCTAAACGAGTCTTCTATATATAGTCTTGTTCTCATAACTTTCGAGTTGCAGGCTGCGCAGCTCCCTTCATAATTCAGAAGATCTTAATCCAAATCTTACTCTTCTTGTTCCCTAACCTAAAGCTTCTTCCTTTCTGTTTTATATTGCACAATAAAGCTCATTTTGAGCTATTTCGATTTCATCTAAGTAAAGCTCCTTTGAGCTCAAAAATATCTCTCTTTTGAGATTTCTATCAAATACTACATCAGATTTCTATTAATTATTTGGTAAATTATCCATACATTCCCAAAGGTAATCATGTGGTAGTACACATTAATTTATTTCATGTCATATCACTTGACATGCATAATTACATTACCACATGATTCCTTTTGGGAAAGTATGAATTTACCGTAAAATATGTCCACCAGCAAGGAAGTGGGAATGACGGAAGGTATAAGTATCTGTTATTTAAGATTCATGTGTTATATAACAGTATCCATAATCCGACACATATATTGTGTTATATATTATTTAACAAATTTGTATGTGTGTTGGGATCCATTTCTAATGTATTGGTAACCATGAACACACATCATAGTATAAAATTTCTCTTCATGTAAATCAAAATATTATATGATTTCCACCGTTTTAACTTTTCTGTGTTCCCCATTGACCACGTCGTCGCAAGACTTTGAACCTGGTTGGTCACTCACTCGCTCGTCCACCACCGTGACGAAAAGAATAACTTTTCGTAATTTGTTTCCATTGTCATCTATTTGGTAATTATTCCTGTTAGGTAAAGGAGTGAGAAAAGTTTTCTACACCATTGCATCTTAATACTTGGTTTGCTTACTGTTGATTATATATCTAATATATTATTTGCGAAGTGAAAATTTCGTTTAGAGCACCACATTCAATTTCAGCTGGTTGATTACCCACATACCCTTAATGAAAATTCTATTTTTAAATTTTCATAATTTCCTTTTTTTAATAACAGTTTTTTTGTCAATTAGTTAATTAATTAGATAATATCTTTTTATTTTATAAAAAATATAATCAGTTTTGATCTCCCAAAATTAAAAAGCCCAAACCTTAAAAATTATATTCACGATTAATTACAAACTCTAAAAAATCATATTCACGTTAATATATAAGAAAACCTATACAAAACCCTAACTCTAATACAACTAATAAGAACATTGATCTTCTTTGTATTCTTCTAACTAGGTTCTAGAGAAAAGAAAAAAAGAGAGGTGAGCTATTTCAAAACTTTTTCGAACCATGATTTGGTTACCTTGGGAATATGTGAACTCTAATACCATAAACATAGAAGTCTTCGATACATACAGAGATGGTATTTTCAATTTTCAGTTTCCAGTTTTTTTATAATGTGTTACTACTTTTTCCCTGTCTCTCTCTTTAGTTGTAGTTTAAAGGTATATTATACATAATTTATTGGTTTTGTTTTTGTCTTATCATGATTATCAAGGAAAAAAAAAAAAGAAGAAGATGATGATCGTTGTGATGAACAAGATGACGGTGATAAGTTTTAGCATCACATACAAGTTTATTAAATTATGTTTGCTTTGAGTACTATTATTTAGCTGATTTTGTTATAATGTTGAACTAGAAGTGCATATCTGGGAATTAGGTTTCCACCAGCTGAATGCAAACTTGCAGATTGGTTAGTGCCACAAAGTAGGAAGGTGCTTCCTTTTCTTTTTAGATTCCTCTTTTGTGTATTCTCCATAAAAAAAATTCTTCTGCTAATCATATTGGACATGGTTGTTTCCAGTGAGTATCTGTTAGAGGATGATGAAAGAGACGATCAAAGCGATGGTGGTAGTCTAGGGAAATCTCTTAGCTCTGTCTACAGGAGTCTAACATCTTATAAACAATGCAGGAGTCCATCACCTTAATCATTAACAACGTGGGAGTCCAGATTATGGTAGACAAAGAAGTCATGCCTATGACTGATCGATACTGAATGTAAAATAAAGTGGCTTTGGCTTCTCAGTGTTCACTTGCACTAAGGGCAATACAGAAACAGAAGCTAACAAGAATGTTTGTGGCATGGTATTTCGGACATACAAGAGTAGTTTTTTTTGGGGTGGTTTTTTAATGTTCTGTGTTCCAGTTACATGATGCTTTTAATATTAGCAGAAGGAAGTGGAAGCAGAAGTTCGAAAAAAGGTGACGATTACAGTGGTAACTGGTGAGGATGATGTAAATTGTTTAAGCATTGATATCATATTTGTTTATTATTAGAGTGTTAATTTTGTTGGTTATTAGTTACGTTCTCACATGGAACCAATAAAAGATTTCTTATGGTTTATGTTTTGGATCAAAATCAAATATTAAATTGGCTTTGATATGATCCCATACAAGATCTCACTGATATGGCTTCTAGGGGCGGCTTAGAAGGGGTACAAGAGGTGCCAGGCCCGGCCCGTCCATAAAGCAGCTAAAGCATTAGATTTAGGTCACCGAATAAATACAATATTTTAGGGCCACATATAAAATTAGTTCCTTTAGCATAGTGGTTATAATGAGCTCATGTTTCCTGTGTGATCATATTCATGGGTTCGATACTTACGTACGGTCTCTAGGTGGTTATCCCTCACCTTGTGCGGGTACAATATTTTTAAAATACATTAATTAATAAAAAAATATTAATAATATAAGTAGTAGAATTTTTGATTATATACATTTTTGTTTTCGTCAACTTCTTAATTTTGTAATTCCGATGTGTCTTATTTTTGTGTTCTCTAGCTCGTGCTTCTATGTAATCTTACAAAATATTTCTCATTTCTTATTTTGTTCTCTTTTATTCTACCCCAAATATCTCACCTTCTTCTTTTTATTTTTATTTTATATTCGTTTTCATCATCTTTTTCTTCTTCTTCTTCCAATTTTTGTTCTTCAATCTTTTCTTATATCTTCATATTTCCAGCTCACTATTCTTCTTTTTCTTTCTAATTTTTTTACATTCTTT